CCTCCCATGTACTCCATTCTTGTTTAATGTTTTTCTTATTGTAGATGTGTCAACAAAAATGTTAGCATGTGCCAGAGATTTCTGTAGGTCTTTAGCTGACACTCTGGGATTCTTCTTTACCTCATGCAGCATTCTGTGCTGTGCTCTTGCAGTCATTTTTACAGGGCGACCACGCCTAGGGAGAGTAGCAACAGTGCAAAACTTTCTCCATTTCTGTCTTACCATGGACAGATGAACATCAAGGCTTTTGGAGATACTTTTGTAACCCTTTCCAGCTTCATGCAAGTCAACAATTCTTGATCGTAGGTCTTCTGAGAGCTCTTTTCTGCGAGGCATGGTTCACATCAGACAGTGCTTCTTGAAACCAGTAAACCAAAACATTTGTTTTTTAAGGGCAGGACGTTGTCAGCAACACATCCAATATCATCACACTGATTGGAGTCAAGGTTGGCTCACTCCTGGCTCCAATTAGCTCTGGGAGAAGTCATAAGCTAGGGCTTCACATACTTTTTCCTCCCAACACTGAATTTTGATATGTTTACATGTTATGTGAATTAAACCATGGCAACATCTAATGTTTGTGTAGTGTTATGTTCAGCAGACAGTGTTCTTCTATTGTTGTGACTTAGATGACGTTCAGAGCACATTTTTATGCCCAATTCATGCAAAACACTCCACGTAATCCCAAGGGGTTCACATACTTTTTCTTGCAACTGTATATATAAAGTGCTGTGTAAATTGACGGAGCTATATAAGTACCTGTAATAAGCAAATGTGTTTTCAGTCACCACTGTTATCCCAGAGATATGAATAACCAGGAGAAGAATTATCTTGTCACAACAAACTTCAATAACAGTTTTATACAACGGTTTAGTTTTAACAGTTCATATAACAGGTGAACAAGACGTTTTAACTTCCTCAAACTTTTGTTGAAAATTTTGACAAATTTTAACCATGTGGAGGAAAATGGAGTCTATAGTCTTTATAGCTGTTTTGTGGATTTTAAGGGAAAATGGGCTTTAAATGGTTGGTAAGGGTTAATTAAGGGGAAATCCCTTTCAACTATCTTGGATTTGTTTTTTGGCCTCTCATTGGATCCAATATTTTACTTTTTTTTCTCACAGGGAAAAAAAAGGAAAATAAACCATGACAATACACAAATAATGACCAAACCCACAAAAAGCACAAATAGAACTAAAGTGGTAGTAAACACTGCTTGGTGATCTGTACCTACAGGTAAGTTTATAATAAAGATTACCTGAAGATATAAGAAATATCTCCTAAAATGTGCACCGTTTAGGAAATATACACTATTTCTGCAGCTAGTGACGTCACCGCTGCATGTGCACTGCGTTCTGAAGTAACGGCAACTCAGTATGCCATCCCTTTAGAGCTCTGTGATGCAATTGTGGCTCCCGTGTGCATGTGCAAGATTGACATCATCGTGGCTTGGCCATTCAAATAGCCACAGCCTATGAACCTGGAAGGAAGACCAGGTGAAGATGGAAGCCCTGGTAGAGGTGACAGAATGCCGTTGGAGGATTTTGTTTTAAAGTGGATGTAAAGGCTCAAGTTTTTTTTACCTTCATGCATTCTATGCATGCAGGTAAAAAAACCTTCTGTGTGCAGCATCCCCCCCCCCCAGCAGCATCCCTCTAATACCCACCTAAGACCCCTCTAGATCCATTGGAGTCTCGGCTGTCCTGGGACTCCCTCTCCTCATTGGCTGAGACAGCAGTGGGAGCAATTGGCCCCGCTGCTGTCAATCACGGCCAGTGAGCCAATGAGTAGAGAAAGGGGCGGGGCCAAGTTATGGTTCCGTGTGTGAATGGTCACACGGAGCAGCGGCCGGGGAGTGCACATGCTCGGGTGCCCCCATAGCAAGCTGCTTGCTGTGGGGGCACCTGACAGGAGGGAGGGGCCAGGAGCATCGGCGGGGGACTCGAGAAGAGGAGGATCAGGGCTGCTCTGTGCAAAACCACTGCACAGAACAGGTAAGTATACATGTTTATTATTATTTTATTTTATTGATGTTATTATTTCTATTTTGTTATATTTTTTTTTTTAAAATGAAGCCTTTAGAATCACTTTAAGGTAAGTCTTTCATAATGTGATAGTAAGGGGTGCATACTAGCACATTATGACGTTAACTTGCAGGGGGAAGTTTTTTTTCTCACTTTACTACTGCAATAAATAAACTAAACTACCCAAAATACACCCAAAAAATTGCCTAAATAAATGGGGAAAAAAGAGAACATTTGTTGATCAATATCAATGAATGTACAAGTATTACCAGAGATAAAAGTTCTACCTAACAGTTTCCAGTCATGTGAAGTTATATTGAAATTCAGAGTATTAGCTTGTGGAATGCTTTTGTGGCTGCAGGGTTAATATGTGGTACACTAAAATTACTGCAAATGATTCCTTCTGGCATGACATGGAAACCAGGGCCGTGAATGGAGATTGTTTTTAGTATTTGGATCTGGCTCCATATATGGAGTTCTTTGTTCTTTCCAAAGACAAGGTGGGAGTATTTTAGAGATGCCCATATAGTGCTGTACTCAGACATCATGCTATCTTAGGTACACCTGAATAATGATGTCCACTCTTGTGTTAAAGGATTATTTTCAAAGAGTGGTGTGTTAGCTTGAGGTTTTTCATGGGATATTTTTGTATTGTAACTCCTGTGGCAGAGATGACAGGTATATAGGAACAGCAGCAGCCGCTCAGCCTGTACAAAGTTATGAGGTCTGAGGAAGAAGGCATAGCCTTCGAAACGCGTCAGCTATACTGAGTGTGTACCCCCATGATGGGATTCGCGCTGGCTTCTTATCTTTGAAGCCCCTTTGAGGACTACATGCCTGATTTTATTCGCTGTTTGTGAGTACCTATCTTCTATTAATAAATTCTGTTACTGAGGAAATGTGCAAGGTTGGTGCGCTTCTTTTTTTTTGCTTCACTTTGCAGCAAAGTTATGACGGGTTAAGAGAAGTTGTTGCTCTTTGCATGTAGACACACAGCCAGAGGTTACCTGGGTTTAGGGAAGGATGGATCGAATCATCCTTACAGCGCTGAGCGAACTGTTGGCGCTTTATAAATACTGTATAATAATAATAATAATAATCCTTTTCTGCCTTGTTGCTAGGAGGTTGGTAGAAACGCCTAATTCACTGTTCACATCCACCATCACAGTAGCAAGCTCTCAAATGTTGAGCTCAGAGCAGGGGTGGACTGACAACTCATGGGGCCCCCGGTCAATAGGGGATCATGGGGCCCCTGTGTCCTTGCCCACACTCAAAGCACACCCAAAAAAGCTTATAAAAAAGGTACCAGGGGCATTTCATGGGGCCCCCTACTGACCCCAGGCCCTCGGGCAGTGCCCGAGTACTCGAATGGTCAGTCCACCCCTGGCTTAGAGCTAATGCATCAGGTGGGGGTTTGAATCAGAGAAGATGCTCACTCCTGTGATGGTAGAGGTGAACAATAAGTCACTAACTCTAATATATACACTATATTTTACAGCAATTTTGTTTACCGACCACCAAACAAGAGAAATGAAAGATTGTTTCTTATTTCCTGAACTGTAAAAAGTCTTGTGACTCCTCCCAATATCCTTTGCACCCCCCCCCTTGCCATCCTGCTTACTTACTTTTGGGTCCCATGCTGCACAGCTAGGCTGATGCATTCTGAACCAGGCCCGGATCTAGTGGGGTGCTGGGGTGGGCTATGCACCCCCAGATTTTAGTTGTGCCCTCCAGATCTCTGAGAGTGCATGCAACTGATCCATGAGACCTGATGGGGACAATTGATGTAAGGGGCAACACTGATAGGGATAGCTGATGTAAGGGGGCACTCCGGACAATTGATGTAAGGGGGCACTCTGTTGAAGAGCTTGATGTAAGGAGCACTCTGAGAGGGGCAATTAATGTAAGGGTGTACTCTGATGTGCACATTTTATGTAAGGAACACTCTGATGAGGACAACTAATGTAAGGGGGGGACTCTTATAGGTACCTTGATGTAAAGAGGAAACTTTGAGGAGGACTCCTGATGTAAGGAGGGGCTCTGATATGGACATATAAGGGGCACAGGTTCTGTTTAATCATCTTATACATACTAGTGTTCTCTATTCACTCCCTGCACAATCTGTCAGATGTTACTTTCGGGTTGTGTACAAAAGCGTGCCGAGTGAACAGGGAATACGGGTTCTATGCATTTCTGTCACAAAACTGACATTATGCCCCCTGACTTTTTTTACTGCACCCCCAGATCAGATAGGCTAGATCTGGCCCTGTTCTGAACATTGGAGGTTGGCTACAGATGCCATTCAGAGAATGCTTTGCATTTTTTTGAATGAATGAAAAGCATTTTCTGATTGGATGAGGTGGAGAGGAGGGGTGGTGATGTGACCCAGAAGCAAGTGAAGAATGGGTTCTATGCATTTCTGTCACACTACTGACATTATGCCCCCTGACTTTTTTTTTACTGCACCCCCAGATCAGATAGGCTAGATCTGGCCCTGTTCTGAACACTGGAGGTTGGCTACAGATGCCATTCAGAGAATGCTTTGCATTTTTTTGAATGAATGAAAAGCATTTTCTGATTGGATGCGGTGGAGAGGAGGGGTGGTGATGTGACCCAGAAGCAAGTGAAGATCACTGGAGCAGCAGTATCTACTATAGAGATTTCCAGCTTCCAGGGGTATCGGCCAGATATTGTATTTACATCGTTACATTACTCCAAGCTAGATCAATGTAGTTCTGTATAAAACATCCTTAGACAAAATTCTTCTTTTACTACAAATGATCAGAGATGGCCAGAAAACCGAAACAAAACGAGAAAAATCCTTTGAGCAGTTTAAATGTTTAAGCATGATGCTGCCTCTTCTTACCCTGCTGCACTAGGCACCGGCCCTTGGACACCGTCACGCTAAACAAAACCATGTCCTTATTGTGAAATGTATTTGTTTGAATTTACATATGACCTTATTTCTTGTAACAGGTGTGGGAAATGCTACAGTTGTGACCAAAATTATTCAACCCCCACTGAAATTGAGTGTTTTGGCCAGTTTGACATTGCTTTTGATCATTCAGTCATCTTGCTTACATTTACATTAAAGAGGCACTTGTAGGTCAGACAAATATAACATAACAGTTATAATGAAATAACCACAAATGTCTTTTCTGTGCTCACAGCATTATCAGTTTTATTCAACCCCCAAGTGACATTCAATCTTAGTACTTAGTAGTACAGCATTTTTACAGTTTACACATCTTTTACTTACAGTTACGCTTTTAAACGTGAAGCATAGCTTGACACAAGTGTCTTGCAGCGATCTACGGGTATCTTCGCCCATTCTTCATGGGCAAAGGCCTCCAGTTCAGTCACATTCTTAGGCTTGCGCACTGCAACTGCTTTCTTTAAGTCCCACCAGAGGTTCTCAATCGGATTTAAGTCTGGTGACTGCGATGGCCACTCCAAAATGTTCCAGCCTTTCCTCTGCAACCATGCTCTAGTGGACTTGGAGGTATGCTTGGGATCATTGTCCTGTTGAAAGGTCCAACGTCTCCCAAGCCTCAGGTGTGTGACGGACTGCATCACGTTTCCATCCAATATCTCCTGGTACTGAAGAGAATTCATGGTACCTTGTACACAATTCATGTTACGCTGAAGCTTCCCTGTACCTGCAGAAGCAAAACAGCCCCAAAGCATGATTGACCCTCCACCATGCTTCACAGTAGGCAAGGTGTTCTTTTCATCATAGGCCTTGTTCTTCCTCCTCCAAACATAGCGTTGATCCATGGGCCCAAACAGTTCTAATTTTGTTTCATCATCCACAGAACACTATCCCACAAACTTTTGTGGTTTGTCCACATGGCTTTTGGCATACTGCAGTCGACTCTTCTTATTCTTTGGAGACAGCAAGGGGGTACGCCTGGGAGTTCTGGCACGGAGGCCTTCATTACGCAGTGTGCGTCTTATTGTCTGGGCTGAAACTTCTGTACCCACATCTGACAAATCTTTTCTCAGTTCCTCAGCAGTCACACGGGGACTTCTCTCCACTCTACGCTTCAGGTAGCGCACAGCAGTCGAAGTCAGCATCTTCTTTCTGCCACGACCAGGTAGCGTTTCAACAGTGCCCTTTTGCCTTGAATTTGCGAATGATGCTTCCTAAGGTGTCTCTTGGTATGTTTAACATCTTTGCAATCTTCTTATAGCCATTGCCCTTCCTGTGAAGAGAAATCACCTCTTCTCTTGTCTTCCTGGACCATTCTCTTGCCTTCACCATGTTTGTAACCACACCAGTAAATGTCTAGAAGGAGCTGAGTAACACAGGTTTTTACAGTCATTTTAAAGCTGCCTAATTGGTGCTTATTATGCTTGATTGCTGCTCGGTGACATCCACAGGTGTTTTCAATACCTGATGGAAAGCACCTGTATGAACCTCTGTTCTTCAGAGTGGTAGTCTTTAAGGGGTTGAATAATTGTGGCAATGAAGAAACCAAGCATAAGAACCATTTACTACTGTATTACATAAACAAAATGTCATTTTAGTTGCATTTGGGTAGTTACAACGTCCTTGTAGGATTTGATTCTGAATACAATTCCAAATGTACACTATAGTCCCTAAACCCCTTTACAGCATTGGGGGTTGAATAATTTTGGTCACAACTGTACAGCCTGTGTGCTGCGTGATGTCATCTATGTCAGCGGTGGTCACTATGGTTACAGAGGAAGTTGCACGTATGATAAGATTCAGAGTTTTCACTCGGATATCAATGAATGGAGGATCCTATCAGTTTGTCCCCATCCAGGTAAGAAAACATGTAAGCGCAAAAAAATGTGAATTGGAATTTAGCAAGTGGTACTCATTCCTACTCCCTATTTTTTTCCACTTACCTACAGTAATGTAGTACTCTGCAAAGCACATACTTACCTACATAGTGAATCCAGCCTTGTCCCTCTGTGATCAGCTGTTCGGATGCCAAACAGTGGGTCTTGTGCCTCCATCTTGGTCCTCTTTAGCTTGCTGCCTCTTCTGGCTGTAGGCAGCAAGCGCTGATGACTCTCCTGACCCGCCCATGATGATGTTATGATTTTATTGAGTATAGAGACCAGGGGCGGACTGACCATTCGAGCACTCGGGCACTGCCCGAGGGCCCGGGGTCAGTAGGGGGCCCCATGAAAGGCCCCTGGTACATTTTATAAGCTTTTTTGGGTGTGCTTTAAGTGTGGGCAAGGACACAGGGGCCCCATGATCCCCTATTGCCCGGGGGCCCCATGAGTTGTCAGTCCGCCCCTGGTAGAGACCACTCTGCTCATGACTCTTGAGTGAAGGTCATCCTGTGCTGTTTGCAGGGGTGGACTGGCAACTCATGGGGCCCCCGGGCAATAGGGGATCATGGGTCCCCTGTGTCCTTGCCCAAACTCAAAAAAGCCTATGAAAAAGGTACCAAGGGCATCTCATGGGGCCCCTACTGACCCCGGGCCCTCGGGCAGTGCCCGAGTTTCCAAATGGTCAGTCCGCCCCTGGCTGTTTGGTTAGGGAATATAATCATCAGTCTGAAAAGTATTAAAAAAGGGAAAAAATAACTTTGAATGCATTTAAAGGAACACTGTAATGGTAAAGTGTAACTGTATGGGCACTATTTAAAGAGACCCTGTCACCAACTTAAAAAACTGCAAATAAAAGCATAGAAACTTTGAGAAATACTCACCGTCACCTTCCAGTGATGCGGTGATTTGATGACATCCCTTTCCGGCTGCTGTCCTTTTCTTCTTGGTGCTGGGTTTTCAACCCCCTCATTGGCTCAGCGGTGTCCCTAGGGTTGGTGTCACCCGGTGTGGTAACACGTGGTGTCACCCCTCCAGGGAGGAAGGAGAGGTGTCGGTGTAGCAGTAAAATGAGTATCCCCTAAAGATACAGTGGGGATCGAAAGTTTGGGCACCCCAGCTAAAAATTTGTATTACTGTGCATAAAGAAGCCAAGAAAAGATGGAAAAATCTCCAAAAGGCATCAAATTACAGATTAGACATTCTTATAATATGTCAACAAAAGTTAGATTTTATTTCCATCATTTACACTTTCAAAATAACAGAAAACAAAAAAATGGCGTCTGCAAAAGTTTGGGCACCCTGCAGAATTTGTAGCATGCACTACCCCCTTTGCCAAGCTGAGACCTGCCAGTGTCATGGATTGTTCTCAATCATCGTCTGGGAAGACCAGGTGATGTCAATCTCAAAGGTTTTAAATGCCCAGACCCATCTGACCTTGCCCCAACAATCAGCACCATGGGTTCTTCTAAGTAGTTGTCTAGAAAACCGAAACTGAAAATAGTAGACGTTCACAAAGCTGGAGAAGGCTATAAGAAGATAGCAAAGCATTTTCAGATGTCAATATCCTCTGTTCGGAATGTAATTAAGAAATGGCAGTCATCAGGAACAGTGGAAGTTAAAGCAAGATCTGGAAGACCAAGAAAAATATCAGACAGAACAGCTCGCAGGATTGTGAGAAAAACAATTCAAAACCCACGTTTGACTGCACGATCCCTCCAGAAAGATCTGGCAGACACTGAAGTTGTGGTACACTATTCCACTATAAAGAGATACTTGTACAAATATGGTCTTCATGGAAGACTCATCAGAAGAAAACCTCTTCTACATCCTCACCACAAAAATCATCGTTTGAACTTTGCAAATGAACATATAGACAAGCCTGATGCATTTTGGAAACAAGTTCTGTGGACCGATGAGGTTGAAATTGAACTTTTTGGCCGGAATGAGCAAAGGTACGTTTGGAGAAGAAGGGGCACAGAATTTAATGAAAAGAACCTCTGTCCAACTGTTAAGCATGGGGTTGGATCAATCATGCTTTGGGGTTGTGTTGCAGCCAGTGGCACAGGGAACATCTCACGAGTAGAAGGAAAAAATGGATTCAATAAAATTTCAGCAAATTTTGGATGGTAACTTGATGCCATCTGTGAAAAAGATGAAGTTAAAGAGAGGATGGCTTCTACAAATGGATAATGATCCTAAACAAACCTCGAAATCCACGGGGGATTACATCAAGAGGCGTAAACTGAAGGTTTTGCCATGGCCTTCACAATCTCCTGACCTCAACATCATTGAAAATCTATGGATAGACCTTAAAAGAGCCGTGTGTGACAGACAGCCCAGAAATCTCAAAGAACTGGAAGACTTTTGTAAGGAAGAATGGGCAAAGATACCTCAAACAAGAATTGAAAGACTCTTGGCTGGCTACAAAAAGCATTTACAAGCTGTGATACTTGCCAAAGGGGGCAGTACAAGATATTAACTCTGCAGGGTGCCCAAACTTTTTTTTTTTTTTGTTTTCTGTTATTTTGAAAGTGTAAATGATGGAAATAAAATCTAACTTTTGTTGACATATTATAAGAATGTCTAATCTGTAATTTGATGCCTTTTGGAGATTTTTCCATCTTTCCTTGGCTTCTTTATGCACATTAATACAAATTTTTAGCTGGGGTGCCCAAACTTTCGATCCCCACTGTATGTATCCCCCTGAAGCAACTTCGCATGTGCCGGTTCAGGCCGAAGAAGCCGATCTCTGACTTTAGCACAGAGCTGCCACAGCTAAACCCTTACAGGCTGCAAACCACTGAACATGATCCCATGGATCACTATGGGTTGCAAGATCAGTTAACCCTGTATAGGCCTGAAACCGTAACATGCGCAGTTGCTTCAGGGGATACATATGCTCACGGGATACACATTTTACTGCTATACCGGGGCAGCTGTCACTGTGCCCGGAATCTTGGATCACCCCAATAACTGGCCAGGACCTTCACAGAGCCCAGAAGCTCTGCTGGCAACCTGCGCCTGCACCCCCTGTGATGGTGTCACCCGGTGCGGCCCGCTGATTGGCTGGGGGTGGGGGGTGGAAGGATGTGATGTCAACCCACTTATATGCATGGGAGTCAATCATTCCCACACAACTGGAGTATGTATTGTTGCGCATGTGCAGCTCAGTGAGCATTCAATAGAAGATTGCGAGCAGGCAGGTAAATGCGCATTATTGCTGCATCCCTGCGGCCTTTTCAAAATTAAGCTTAGTTCTACTTCTAAATGCTTACGTGCAGCATTTTTTTTTCCGTAAACAAAGTTTTACTCACTTACAATGTGCTTTTAAACTTGCTATGGAATTCGACCGCTCCAGGAAGAGTCGATTCCCTAGCACAGCCACAGTTCCTTCTCCTACCTTGTATTTCATAGACTTCTTCTCTTCTGGGAGTGTCTAATGCTGTCCCAGCTCCTCTCTTTACTGTCTGTGTTGGCCCAGCTCCTCTTTTTACCTCCCTACATAATTTTCAATGTAGCTGCAGGAAGGAGTGAAGGAGAACACTATTGAGTGACAGCTCTGAGTCTGCTGGACTGTTGACATCACATTCAAGATGGTGACACCCAACAACAAGAGCTTTTAGATGTCTGCACATGGGAGGCTTTTACAGCTAAATAGAAGGAAAAGGAGAGGAAGGCGCCTCTAAGTGCACTATTAACAATTTATTAGTAAACAATGGAAAATTTACACTTACAAGATAAACGGTTTAAAAAGGCTCATCGTGTGGTAATTGGATCCAGGTGGGACATCCAGTCATCCAGCAGCAAGCTATGCCTATAGGATCAGGAAGTAGAGTCCAGGATGTGCCGTGCATCAAAAATGAATCTTGGAGAGCAGAGTCAGATGTAGCAGGTGAAAGGGGCGGTAATGCATTTCGGAGCATGCTCAATAGGCTCCTTCTTGAGACCTCATACTGTATACTCTTATGGGAAAATTGATGTTGAAATGAGTGAGCTGGTGCCAGGGTCTTTTTAATCCCTTCCTGCTGGTCCCTGATGGCTATTTAAGAAGATCTTAATGACAAAAGTGTTTCCTGGTCTTCATGATCAGATACAATGATGTAGAGCACAGGTGTCAAACTGGCGGCCCTCCAGCTGTTGCCAAACTACAAGTCCCATGAGGCATTGCAAAATTGACAGTTACAAGTATGACTCCCAAAGGCAGAGGCATGATGGGACTTGTAGTTTCGCAACAGCTGGAGGGCCGTTAGTTTGACACCCCTGATGTAGAGACTGTGATTTGCTGTCACAGTGATCACCTGATTAAGAGCTGGTCCTATTGGCTTCTGATTGTTGCTATGTGACTGGGAGCTGTTGGTGACTGTAATGTCACAGTGCTGAGGGCTCATGCTTGAGCAAGTATCCAATACAAAAGAGATGCAGAAACTGTATATATGCCAGTACAAAATTAGGCCCATTGAATGCTGCCACATGCATGTATCCAGCAGGCAGGTTATAATACTCAGGTTCAGGACAAGCTAAACAATCTGCTGTATGTCAAACGTTACTTAAAAATCTTTAGAATTATACGTAGTACAATACTGTAAATAAGGATCATAGAGAGTGTGGAATATTATGGCATGTCTTACTCAATTGTACCATTATTTTTCAAATTAAAGGAGTAATTAGAAGTAAGTCTGTTAGAACCTAGAGAAATGTGAAAATATATTTTTAAATAATTTTTTAAGGCTGAAAATTTTATTCTTTTTTTCCAGAGTATGGATTGTGTTCAGTGGCACTACATAACAAGCTGTACCTGGTCGGAGGTCAGACCACGACTACTGACTGCTATGACCTTGAGCGCAATGAGTGGGTGGAGCTTGCCCCAACAATGGAACGGAGAATGGAATGCGGAGCCATTGTCATGAATGGATTTCTTTATATCACTGGTGGTTACTCCTGGTCTAAAGGCACCTACTTGCAGAGTATAGAGAAGTACAATCCAGAAACTGATAAATGGGAACTAGTCGGAAATCTCCCCAGCCCTATGCGTTCCCATGGCTGTGTCTGTGTGTATAGTGCATAGGTGCCAATTATGTACATTGATCTACTATGTGATACAAACAATTCAGCTCAGGTTCTTGGAGCTAAAGTAGTTCCAAACAACTTATTATGTTGCCTGTGTACAGCCATCTTCATGAATAGAAGCATATGTTTAAGCTACCCCTAAGGGGTAGTTAAGGCATTTTAAAGGCATGCCATGCAATTAAGCCACACTTCTGTGGGGTACAAATGAATGGCTTGCCTGTTCAATATCTACTGAATGGATGGGGGAAAGTACAGTAATACAATGGTAGAATGTACACATGCATGTAATCATTGTATAAGTGCTTCAATTGATTTGGCTCAGGTGGTAACCATTCAGATATATGTAAATGGATGAATCCTTGAAGAACAGGCTGTCTGATTAGCAGCTGTCATCAGCAGAGGTGAAGGGGAACACTAGGTTACTCAGCCTGGGGTAACTAGGATGGTACATGTTGGGTTCACTGCAGGCCTAAAGCCACATGTTAGCATACTCAGGTTGCCTTTCCCAGCATATAGCAGCCATATGGGCAGAAATGTGTATCTATCATTAAAGTCCAACTCCAGCCAAAAAATGTTGTTTCAGTCTCAATCTGGATGAAGTAAGGAAGGGTTAGAGCTCATATCAGGTTTTTATTGTTGTCCATGTCTCTGCTAAAGAGTTTTCCTTTAGTAGAGTCACAGGAAGTGATGGGAAATCTGTCTAACAGCGTCACAGATAAAAACACATTTTCTTAATCATACAGCAAAGGACACAGGCTCCTTTAACTCCTGACTATGGGTTATATACTGGCACCATCAGGTGAGCACACTGGCCAACAAAACTGTAGAACAGCCCATATGACTCCTTCCGTTCCCAGCAATCCTTGGGTTTTTGGTTGTGTCCATAGGTGATGGTTGACCTCTCTTTACTGAGAGCAGATTTCCAACCTATAGTTCCTAATTTACTGGATGATTAAAGACTTTACTTTGTTCTTCACACAGAGAAGACCTTTCTCCACCTTGTTGCATCAACACCACTGAGGCAATATAATTGTAGCCTCTCGATTGGTCGTTCTTCAGGTAGCTCCTCAGGTACAGTACTGGACTCCACCGCATGGAAGACGCAGCTTTGGTCTGTATCATTGCTTTTTGCTACTTGACTCTACCTGTGACACTCACCTTCACCTAAGCAGTGCAATTTGGTACAGTTAGATGCAGAGTGCTTTACAGGTCCAGGGCAGTGGCAATCCAAAACCCAGTCATGTATATGTACTGTATGGTGTTCATCAGGGCTCAAGCTTGGGTCTCTTATTTTTTAGCATTTACGTGTTTCCAGTTAGCCAACTGCTTAGATCACATTGGCTCAATTATCACTTCTATGCTGATGACACTGAGATATACATCCTCATTAAACCGGATTCTACTTTGGATGCTTTTCTCCTATCTAACTGTATTTGTGATCTAAAAACTGGGATGACTCACAATTTCCTTCAATTAAACCTTGACAAGACTGAAGTCATGCTTATTGGCACCCCCCATCAATTATGTAAGGCCAGTCCTGGTAGCCTCTCAATCAGGGGTGGACTGACAACTCATGGGGCTCCCGGGCAATAGGGGATCATGGGGCCCCTGTGTACTTGCCCAAACTCAAAAAAGCCTATGAAAAAGGTACCATGGGCATCTCATGGGGCCCCCTACTGACCCCGGGGCCCTCGGGCAGTGCCCAAGTTTCCAAATGGTCAGTCCGCCCCTGCTCTCAGTAGATGGCACTGTACTTGAACTTCAGTCTAATTTAAAAAACCTAGGGGTGAGATTTGATGCTAGTTTAACCTTTGATCCACATGTACAAAAATTTGTCAGAACATCTTTTTTTTCCACTTGAGAAACATTACTCAAACCTGAAAAGCAGATAGTTATATATGTGTTCCCCCTACTTGACTACTGCAATGCTCTAATCACTGGTGTACCTAAATCCACTATTAATCCACTACAATATGTACAAAATTTTGCAGCTAGAATCCACACTAGGTCTGGTACAAGTGACCGTATTACTCCTATCCTGGAGTCCTTGCAATGGCTCCCCGTCAGGTTTCACATAGACTTTAAGATCCTCTTGCTCACCTACAAGGCTCTTCATAGCTTGGCACCCTATTATCTGCCTGAACTCTTATCAACTTACTCCCCCCTCTTAACCTCTGCTCCTCTAATCCTGGTCTTCTGTGTGTCCCCCCTACTCACCTACACTCGATGGGAGACACAACCTTCTTCTGCTATGTCCCAAAACTCTGGAAATCACTTCCAAAGAACATCAGAGAATCATCTTCTCTAAACTCATTCAAATCAAATCTAAAAAACGCTTTTCTTTAGACAAGCATTCATGAAATATTCCCTTTTTTTCCTTTATTTTATTCGGTGTTTTCTTTGTGAAGCTACCTTTAAAGGCACAATATAAAATAAAGCTTATTATTATTATAGTAGTTCCTGCTCTCAGGTGGATCAAGTGGGAAGTTTTCACCCTGTTGTGTTCTCCCTGGGAAGGTGTCTTTACACAGGTGTGGTGAGTTCTGGTCTTAGCCCCTTCCCCTGTGAGGTTCCCCTCCCTCTCCCAACTTTCTCTCGCTCAGCCCCCCTCTCCTGCCATGTTTAGGGCAGTATGCACCCAGGGACAAATCCCTGGAATGCATGCAATAACACTCGGTACGCAGTCTAGACCCATTCAGTCGCAGCAGCTTTCAGCCTGTCAGAGTTTTACAGGTTGCTGACTGCAGGGCTGCATGGTGCACCTATTGTCACGATCGCGCGGGTCCCCGCCACCAACATGCGACAATCGTACGACCGTGACTAACAGTAACACGTCACGCCCGCGGCGTCAGACCCCAGACCTTCTCACCAACTCGTGACCGAAGGACCAGCCGATCTAAAACCGCGGTGTGACGCGCGTAACAAGGCCCCACCCAGCTGCACCTGCACAGCGATTTTCCAGCTAATGGGCTACAATCGGTGCCGGCAGCCTGAATGCGCTTGTTACTGGGTCGTGTTAATTACGCAACTAACTCTCTACTGCCACCACCACTTTTGTCGGAGATTGGGAAACTCCCGTTATCAAATATTCACTATAATGATTGAAAAGTCGCCTGTCCAATGCGGTCACTGCAGGCCGATTGGGCAGAGGATTAAAAAAAACACAGTAGCGTCTCTTCAAAGGCAGGAATTCGTGAATTGCAAGTAAGCGCTTAGAAACAGTTTAACACTTTCAGAAAGAAAGATTTATTACTAAAAGAGTCAAACAGGTGCAATACAATATTTACAAAGAAAATGTAACTATATATATATATATGCATATAAAGGTACAGCAAAGAGATAATAGGAAGGAAATTAAAGAGTTAAGTTACTTGCCAATATGCCTTGGTTTGTAAGCAGATCCAAGTGCAGAGCAGGAAGGGTCTTTGATCTCCTCTGTTATGATGTTAAACTCAGGAGATGTGTGTTAAGCTCTAACAGGCTTGCCAGCCTGTCCTTTTTTTAAAAATCCCTCTGAAAGGGGGGTTGCTCTGACTACGCTGTTTTGGGAGGGGTCAATGAGACTCTGAGTTAAAACTAACAGCTTGATACTCCATGATATGAAACATACAGTTGACCTGAGGAATGTTCAATTAATTGCTGATCAGTTTTATGATGTGTGGGCCTACACAGTTTTGGGTGACGAAGGTTACACTTCAGCAGACTGCCTGGCACCTGGACTCAGGATGTCTTAACCCACACCATCTGTCAGGAGATAACGTTTGCCTCTCAGGAAGGGAGGGGGTAGGGAATGAGAGGAATACTTCCAATACAAAGAAAAGAAAAAGGGGGAACTCCACGTCCAACTCTGATGAGCTAGTTTGCTACACCTATGTCTTCTGCAGTGTTAATTTTGTTGATGAAAATATTATTATTGACTAAAATACGACTAAAACTAAAACAATTCAGATGACTAAAGTACGACTAAAATTTAAGTTCTAGTCAAAAGACTATGACTAAAACTAAATCGAAATTTGACTTCAAAATTAACACTGGTCTTCTGCCTGCACCCAAATGCTGGAATCTCATGCATCAGTGCCAAACGCCCAGTGTGCATGGGGCCTTATTCTGTAAAGAACCCATTCTTATATTTCATAAAGACAATGCGGTTTTGGGGCCCGGATTCTTTTCTCCCTTAGGTGGTCTCCTTCTTTCACCTTAATCTGGACATCATCCTGCCATCTCTTTGCCCTGCTCCAAAGCAACACAAAAGACTATGACTAAAACTAAATTGAAATTTGACGTCAAGTTAACACCGGTCTTCTGCTTGCACCCAAATGCTGGAGTCTCATGCTCAGTGTGCATGGGGCCTTATTCTGTAAAGGACCCATCCTTGTACTTCATAAAGACAATGTGGTTTTGGGGCTCTGGGCTTCTTTTCTCCGTAAGGTGGTCTTCTACTTTCACCTTAATTTTAATTTTTCACCCTGCTCCAAAGCAACACAAAGAGCTATCTCTGCATTGTTCTGATAAGGTATGTGCGGTGTGCACCTCTCTGCCACTGCCACAGTAAAACTGTTTACATATAGACGCATATATATGTCCGCTCCGCATTAAACCCCAGCCACTGAGAGGCCACGTATATGTGGCCAGTCGGCGTGAACGGGTTAATACTGTGAGGAGGAGCTTTAAACATTGTGGAAATGTTTGTATTGTTTTTCTTAGCTTCCTGTCCCAGTGACACTTCTTATTCAGTTGTCACATGAACAGGAAGCAAGGGAAAATTCCCCACCAGTGGGATCACAAACAGAAATAAAACACAGTGAAGGTTAACTCTTGTATTCTCTATACAAAACTTAAACATCTTGCTGGAGTTATTATTATTATTACACAGGATTTATATAGCGCCAACAGTTTGCTCAGTGCTATACATTACAATGGGAGACAATACATGAGACAGTACAGTAACAGTACAATGAAATACACGAGGGGTTCGAGGGCCCTGCTCCTTGGAGCTTA